CCCTACCCCGTTTTCTTTACAGCATCTGACGTGCAATACCCTCTTCTCGGTCAGGAAGGTCACCTGAAATGTTGCCAGCCTATCTGGTTGCTTGAAATTATGAAAATGTAGAAATTGATTCCATTCCCATTTCTTACTAAAATAACCTGGGGCACAGAGGGTCTTTCAAAGCACAGATCCTGGGAATATAAATTCAATTTCTACAGCCTGTAGTTAGGAATAGTTTAAAAATCTTGTTTGTTAATGAGTAGTATTTCAAGATAAATATTACAGAGCCGTTTTTCTTCTTTCAGTGATCCTTGTATTTTCAGTATTTTCAGCATTCACAAAGCCTGACTGCGATTTCTCCGAATATAGTCAATTCAAAAGACCTGTTTTCTTGGATACTAACGAAGAAAAATTATCTGTCATATCCTTGTATTGATGCTGGCCAGAATATGTTACTAAAATTACGTGAGGTAGACAGCTTTGGGACTTGTGCGTTTATGAAAACCATGTGTTTTTAGGCACAAAGTGTTGACTCTTCAGGGAATACCATTTCATATTTGTTGGTGAAATGATTACGTGCAACAGAGCTGAATTGTATGACTCAGAGCTTACATTTTTTAAAAATTTCATATGTGCTTTTTGTAGATTGCTCCTCCAAACTGAGTTTCAGGTGATTTTGACTTAGAAGAACCACCAATAATATATTAACTTTCTCAAATAATCATTTTCTATCAAATGATTAAACTTTGATCAACCTGAATGACTAAAGTTTATGTTACACATGATTTGCAATCATAATTATAGAATTAAAACTTTTCCTAGAGTCAATCTATCTTTATTTCTTCATTATGTGAATGAAACCCAGAGAAAGAAAATTACTTCTAACATCAGTGAATTTGACCATGACACTCTGAGATCATCTCATAGTTTCCCTGCCTCTCTTTTAGTGATCGTTTTTAGTTCTCTGTTTCGTTAGTTCTCTAGTACTTATAATCGTGTAATTTTTAGTCTTCTTTTTAATACATGGTATAGCTAACTCTTACAGTGTAGCTATTACATACAGAGACACAGGTCTGAAGTCTCAGTCCAGTTACTGGGATTTCTCTTTCCGAGCAGCCAGTTTGCCCAAGATGAGGAAGAGCTAGTACTATCTTGGTTCTCCCCCTTCCCGACCCTCTTCTAGTACTTCTGCACAAAGAGCACCGCCTCTATGCTTTTTCCTTGCTAAAATTCTGGAGTGCAGATAACTGGGCAGGCACGAAAGTGTAAGATTTGGCTGTCTTAAGAATAGCTAAGACCCTTGAGGAAAGAAGGACCCTAACCACCGTGTGTGTGTGTGGGGGGGTGGTCTGTCCAAAGGAGGAGGTGTCTTGAAAAGAATTCTGGATCCTGGCCATTAGGGAATCCTGGACACAAAGCAAGGAGGGAGAAAAATTGATGGAGCCTTCAGGGCAAGTGGAATTCCAAATCCTTCAACTGACTAGCACTGAGCACCTCAAGTTTTGAGACTTTTCTCAAAAAAAGATCTAGGAATAGGCCTTGAGAACCTGCCCCAAAACTCATATTATTGTACAGTGCAATTAATATGTTTTCCTTTGACTGATATACATTTGACTTATGAGGGGGCAGCAAGCAGCTGCCTCTGAGGATGGAAATAAAGCAAAATAATTTGTTTCACCCACCCTGTGCTGGCAACATTTTGACATATATCCAATTTAACAATTGCATTTTAGGTTGTAACAGTCTAAAAACAGGCACATTCACTGAACAAGGAATAGAGTGAATCATGTTTTTGTTGGAGACACTGTGCTTTTTTATCTACCAGGTTGATAAAGAGATTACAATGTAGAAGTTTTTTGTTTTTTTTTTTTTAACTCAGTGATGTGGCATAAGATAGAATGTTTCTGTGTGTTTGTTTTTGATGAGTTCAGCTTCAGTTTGGCTTAGCAGCAGGAGAGAGGGTTATCACTGCTGTGACTTCTGTCTGTTCTCTTTAATTTCAGACTTGTTCTCTGCCTTGGATATTTGCAAGATCTCTTTACTCTTTTCTCCTTCCGAACACACTGGGGAAGATGTAGTTGTGTGTTTTTAGAAAGATGGAGAGGGGCACTTTCCTCTGGAAAGTCACAGCCAGACTGGAAAAGTCTGCTATGGAGATTGTTGCCTTCAGGCAGGGTGGGTAGAAGAACTCTGGAACATTGCTTTCTGAGCTTCAAGGTCGCGTCAGATCCAGTTCTTCAGATTACTGTTTCTCCTCCTAGATTCCTAACCCAGAACCCCACCCTTACCCCAAGAGCCCCAAGGTTCTACTCCCAGAGATTGGGAAATCTTTTCACCCTTCCCTGTGTTGCCTGCACCACACCATCACTTGTGGCTACTCTTTGGAGCTTCCTTCCTATCAGTCTCCTTCCAGCCCTGGGGATGTTTGGTAAATCTACAATCTTGATAGTTGAGGAGATTTACTTTCTCCCTTGTGGGAATAGAAAGCAGCACAAAACTGCTTACTGCAAAAGCCATCCCTGATCTCCCTTAGACTCCCTCCCTGCCCCCCTGCACTGCCTCCTGTTGGTCCTCCCAGCTACGAAATAATGCTCATCTTTTCAGTCTCAGTTCAAGCTACACTGTTTAATAAGCATTCATTCCCATTCTTTCTAACTGCTTCACATCTTCCTAAGAGCAAGCTTTTAGGAAGGCATCTACATTTAAAACCAGACGCCAGATTTTAGGTTATGTTTGCTCTTGATCTAGTGTGGCCAGAAGCAAATCACTTCTCCCTTCTGGAATTTAGTCTCCAATCTCACCTAAAAAGGACGTCTAGATCTATGCAGAGGAAGAGTACATGGAACATTTAGAATAACATATGTTCTTGAAATACCAGTCCCAGTAATTCTAAGAAATAGACTGCTGTTATAAGAATATAACGAAGTGGTTGGAAAGAAACTTGCCCCTTTGCAAGGTTGACTTCATCAGTCAGCTGTGAGTTATAGAAGGACCTTAGTATAAAACCTCTGCTGACTAATCAAGCTTCTAAGGCTGAACTTGGAAGATGCACCAGAAATAGGGAACACATGGTATTGTTCCCCTATGTTTGTATTGTTTTATCAAACCCAGTGTTATTCGTATCAGGTACCTCAGACTCAAAGACAGGCAAGAAGTTGTACAAATAAGCATTTTATTTAGAGCAAACAGTAGCTTCTAGATATTATCTAAACCAGTATGTCTCAGGATTTTAAATACATATAATTGTGTATGTATATGTAAGTTCTATGTTAGGAGGTAAAATTACAGGATTCCTTATTATGAAGTTACTGTAAATGTTTAAAAGCCATTGATTTAATCTAAGCTGTGTGGCTATGTGATTAAGTCTGATTAAAATAATCTTAATTTTTATTTGGGATTAGTAGTTAGCAAGAGAAGCACAGAACATGGTATGAAGCAAATCCATGCCCCAGGCACGGATTATTAACTTTCCTATCATGGAAAACTAGGATGGGTTAAAAAAGTACATCCTTTCAGATTTGCTCTTCGTTTTACTATGAATAACCTTAATGAGAAAACTCAGTTATACTCCTTATAAAAGAACAGAAAACACAACCCATCTTCCTCAGTTCTTTGTTTGACTCACTGTATGCCGTACTCTAAACTGTAATTGCCAGTGACAAGAAAAAAGTTGATTCTGAGAAAGTTTAATGCTGATGTGAAATACACAGTGTACAAAAGTTCAACTCTTTTGAGAATTGGTAATATAGACATGGTATGATGATGAAGTACCGCTGGATTTTTATACATTAGAGAGTATGTTGAGGTAGTCTGACATATAATTAGTATTATAATTCTCCTAAACAAGCTGATTGACTAGCTGACCTGGAATATGCCATTGCAGTAGAAGGATGTGTTCATTTTCATCAGATAAAAAGCAAAGGCTCAAGGCTGATTGTGCAGAGAACAAATTACCATGTGGTTTTGGTTACATAATGATAAATACAACTTGGTAAAATTACAGGAGACCATTTAAAAAGATTTGGCCCACTCAAAAACTACTCCAGTGGTAATTAATTTGTCACAGCTACTAATGCAACATTTAAAATATGAAATAATGTGGTCACTAGTGATTTGCTGATGTGCAAGTGCAAAGCCAGTCAATCTTTTTTTTGTGGATAAGTAGTTGTATAGAAGAGTTTACATTGCCTTGCCCTTGTATGCCCTTATCTGTTCTCCCACCCTATCTGCCTATTAGGCCATGTCTCAGAAAGTTACCAAGTGTTGTTTAGTAGGATGGAGAGAAAAGAACAGTTTACCACAGTAAGGTAACAGTACAGCCCTCCCACCCCCTTGCCTAGCTGTGAGAGCACAGGTCGTGTGGTCAGAAAGTCCTGGATTCAAATCCTTTTTTCTCTGCCATTTTGATCTTAGGCAAGGACTTCTATCTCTCTCTGGGTTTCAATTAAAATGGACAATACCATTTCCTACTGTATAACCATTTTATGATTTTCATACAATTCTGATGAAGAAACAAAGGACATACTATTTCTGGCATTCAATAAATGTTTGTGGTTACTATTTATCATAATTAAAATAATTAAACTTTTAATTCCTAAAACCTTTCATGCATTTCCTTGTTTGCTGCAAAATATGCCACTTAGGACCAGACTTGCCATCTAAACTCTGCTTCCCGAGTGTTCCCTGTGCTTATTATAGCCAGGGCGTGTAGTGGTCAAAGACATAAATTCCTGCTTTTGATGACAGTCCATCCCACAGTCCACCCCACAGTTGTTTCTTGATGCTTTTCTTTTCATGATAAAAAGCAATAAGAGCGTAAAGTATGTTCTGTATGTACTTGGAGCTGCCATTTACTACCTGGCTGTCATAATTGGCTAAACAGCGTGCCACTCACAAAAGATTTGTTTGAAAGCTACATCAACAGGAACGGTAAGTGGAATTAAAAGTGTGATTTATTGAATTTTTCAGATTTCTAAAAACATAATAATAGATCTATGTTTTCTCTTCAACAGATGGGCTTAGGTCATGAGCAAGGATTTGGAGCCCCCTGTTTAAAATGCAAAGAAAACTGTGAAGGATTTGAACTGCACTTCTGGAGGTAATGTTTTGAAAACTGCCTTAGTAATTTACTCTTTTTGGCAGTAGTTTCTCAGACAGTGCAATCTCTTCAAGAGTTCTCAGTCATAGTTGCTAAGTTGTAGATGTTATTTTTTTTAAATGAATGAAAAATAGAGCTGTCTGTCTTCCTGTCATTAAGTTTGACTGAGCAAATGCAACCATAATAACTATATTTAGATTAGTTTGATGTATTTGCTGTTTCATCTTTCTTATGAATCTTAAACATTGATTATGCCTTTTCTAAGTGGCAAACAAGTTTGTGTTAATCTTCCAGGATGGTTTATTAATTTAATTATTATTTTTAATAATTACTATCTTTTTATATCTTATATTTGGAAGAAGTGATAGATATGAGTGATGAATTGAGTATTCATATAGTAGTTATCAGGAAATAAGGTTTTAGGTATCTTTAAAATTTCTAGAAGTAAACTTATTACTGAAAAACCTATCAGAAACCAGTATTTGAAACTTGTTCTTGTGAAGAGCATGGATGTTCTTGGTCAATAGCTGTATAGATCACCGTGGTAGTTCACATGTCTGCTCAAAGTTAGAACAGCATATTATTGTTAGAAGGAAAAAGATCAATAATACAATATTAGAATAGCAGTGATTTTTAACAGTGAACCTCATTTGACAGCTACATGTGTTATACAGATTTCTACAGAAAACTCTAGAAAGCATACACAATTTCATTAGTGCTCTGACTTTGTACAATATAAGTTGAGGGAAGATATAAGAGAGTGGATGTCAAACTCCTTTAAAAGCTAACATATTTAATGTCTCAAAAAAAAGGGTTGAGAATATAGTGGCAGAGTACTTGCCTAGCCGTTATCAACCCTGAATTCAAACCTTGACACTGAAAAAAAAAAAAAAAAACAAGTATGATAATATTGAAAATAACAGAAACCTAGGTCCTCTAAGAAATGTCACAGTTCTTTATTTTTAGATAGCTGAATTTTCCATGGAGTCTTAAGTTTTTAAAGTTTAAATGGCTCTTCCTGGTTCTGTCTTTTCAGGAACATAGTAGTTAGGCAATGTGCCTGTCATTTCTAAAAAGATAACATTACTAAACACAAAATGTTCTTCATGGATTGAAATACAGTTGTCGCTTAGTATCCAAGTTCTGCAGGTCCCCAGAATCCATAGATGCTTAAATCTCTTATGTAAAATGGTATAATATTTGTGTATAGTCTACACATCCAGGTACTTTGTTTGTTAGATAACTTATAATAATACATTATATGTGCTAGGTAAATTATTTAGGGAAAAATGACAGCTTTTAAAATTCCATAAATAGTACATGTACCATCATTGTTTGGAATTATTTTTTTTTTATTTGCCTCTGACTCCATACAGTGGAACCAACGATAGGAAGCAGAGGCTGACTGTATTTCAGCTCTTGCTGTGCTCACTTTTTGTGATTCTTGCTGACTTTCCAGAGGTCTGCAGTGCCCTCTACTGGGCATAGTTTTTAAGTTTACAAGCTTAGTACTAAGAGATGGTCATCTTTTCTCTAAAGCAGGAAGCTTGTTTATAGTATTTTGTTTGATCTGTATTATTTCTATTGCAAATCCTTAAAGTCAGATATTTTGTGACCAGATAAAAAGGCAAGAGCAGATCTCCATGGCATGAAAATCACCCCTTTATTTCAGTTTTATCACACAGACTCACCTAATGTAAACTAGGTATAGTCTGAGAGTCTAGTAGCTGTAAAACACGAGGCCTTTGGCCTCCATCCTAGCTTGTGTTGATGTAGTCTGTCCAGATTGTGTTTCTTAGTAGTTCCATCATATTCCTGACCTGAGTCCAGGCACATTTCTCTTGCTTACAACTCTTGGTTAGTCCCTGGCATTTTAGCCATAACTGGAAGAACAAAGGCAGATACCTTTGAACATCAACTGCAGCAACACAGTCCTTAAAATAAAATACTTTGTGCCAACTATATATTTGTATATAAGAAGGCTGCAGCAGTAGCCTAAGACCACAGAGCTTTGTGGTTGAGGTGGACCTGGGGTCCCTCCCCCCATGTGTCTGTCCTCACGACTGGTTATCCTTAACTCCTTCCAGAGCTGGACACATTTGGAAAATTGGAATTAAATTATTCTCCACTTCTTTTCCAGTCATCCTCCCATATAATTATAAGATTGTTATGTTGAAAGTGAATACGAAAATATACTCCCTGATAACTTGAGAACTCTCAGTTCACTCCTGTTTCACAGGAAATACCAAGAATCAGCAAGTGACATTAAATCAAATTAAAAAGCTTCTGCACAGCAAAAGAAACAACCAGTAGAGTAAAGTCACAACCTACAGAGTGGGAAAAAAAAAAATCTTTTTGCCAGCTGTTCCTCAGTCAGAGAACTGATACCTGGAATATATGGCTGTCGGTGGGCACGTAGACTAGTACAACCATTATGGAAATTAGTGTGGAGATTCTTCAGAAAACTTAAACTAGAAATTCCATTTGACCCAAGCTGTTTTCTTTCTATGTGTCTTCCCAAAAGAAACACATCTTACAGTCATGTATGCATACTTGTGCTTATAGTAACATAATTCATAATACAGTAGCTCAGTCTTGGAAATAGCCTGTGTGTCCCTCAGTACATACAGAAATTATGGCATTTATGTACAATGGAGTACTACTATCGCGTAAAGAAAAATAAAGTTTGAGTCATTTGTAGAACAATGAATATACCATGATACTATAAGGTTAAGTGACATAAATGAGATGCAAAAGCTTCGTACTGAGCCAGGGATATACCCCACTGGCAAAATGCCTGCCTGGCAAGTGCAAGGTCCTGAGTTTGATCAGTGGTACAAAAAGAAGGGAGGAAGAAAGGAAGGAAAGAAAGGAAGAGAAAAAAGAAAGAAAAAAGCTTCAATATCACATTGTTTCTGTTATATGAAAAACCCAGAATACGGAAAGCAAAATTAAAAACAGATAGTAAGAAATAGGGAGATGAATCTTTTTCAGATATGAAGGAGATTAGGAGATGGAGAGAAGGGATAGGAAGATGATGAACGAAGAATTGAGATGCTCATCATAAAGAATGTAACAGTGTGTACTGCAGACATGTACTGATAAAAAGTAGTAAGAAAAAACCCAGTAGGTCCAACAGTAATGCAGATGGTTTATCTACATTTCATAGAATGTGCTGGTAACGCTGCCCCTGAGAGATGGCTTTTGTAAAAAAAGTTCTGGATCCAGTCTTTGTTCAATTCTGGATACTGAAGGCTTTTGGAGATTAATAAGATAAATTAGCCTCATAAAGACTGCAAGAGGCCCTGCAGTTAAAATATCTATTATGTAATGTGATGTTTCTAAATATCTCTTCTGTAGAACATAGGTTTGGGAACATGGATTTAGATATTTTCTTACCTGAACAAAGGGAATGAAACTAAAATTATCTTTCAGAGGAAAAAACTCTCTTAGTTCCACTGGACTTCATCCATCTTTGGCCTTTGATGGCAGACTTGATGCATTTGGCCTCTGTTTACTTTGCTATATTACCACAGTGTTCTTGATCCTTGGTATTCCCTGAAATTTCTGGAAATACCAGGAATTTCTGGAAAGCCTTCTTGCATGTGTCCTTTACTTGGACAAACTTTTTTTTTCCACTTCCAAAGAACAAAAGATCCCAGCTCTAGCAGTATTTCTGAGGATTCTCCCTTCCCCTCTTTGTTAGTTGGCTTGGCCTGACATAACAAAATACCATAGAGCTGGTGGCTTAGAAACAATTTAATTTCCCTTAATTTTAAAGGCTCAAAGGTTCAAAATGGTTTGCTGCGAATTTTCTTTCTGAGATTAGACAGATGCTTCTCACTATATATATACTCTCTCCCTCTCCCTCTCCCTCTCTCTCTCTCTCTCTCTCTCTCTCTCTCTCTGTGTGTGTGTGTGTGTGTGTGTGTGTGTGTGTGTGTGTGTGTGTAGTAAGAATACTAGGGAGATACATCATCTCTTATGAGGCTACCAGTCCTATCTAGTAAGAATCCCACACTTATAACGTCTTTGAACCTTAGTTACCTCCCAAAAACCCTAGCTCCAAATATAGTTATATTGGGGGTTAGGACTTCAGCTTATGAATATGAGACACGATTGTGTCTATATCACCTTCTTTCCTTGTTTCACACATCACCAACTTAATGATCATTTTACCTTAGCATTGTATACTTCTGGAAAAGCAGGAAATAAATACCCAGGTTTCACTCTCCATCACTCTCTTCTGCCTCCTGTTTTCCATTTCTGAGGACCAAGGAGTCCATTGGTAGTCATTGTTTATGGGGCTCCTGGAACATAGCCTACAGTACTGAAACTCAAACAAGTTAAAACAATTTGTTTGTACTCATGTAAAACAAACATAATTTATGAGCAGTTCCTGTGAATCACATAGAAGTATTTACAATAGTTTTCTATTGCTGCGTTACAAATTACTACAAACTTAGTAGTTTTAAACAATGCCTATTAATTGACTCAGTGACCAATTTGCCCTTTATTGTGGATGATACATTGTGTCAACGTGAGAAATTCAGAAGCTTAACTGAGAGACTCTGCAAGGAGCCAGGATCTGTCCTTTGTAAGCATCCTCAGCCTGTGCTAGAGGAAAACAGAGATTTTGTGAGTGCTACATCCATCAGGGAGAAGGGCGTGGCCTATTGCAGTATAAAGGAGGAGAAGAGGCTTGCTCTTCCCCATTTTGCTATTGTTGCTTTGCTGTCTTCGGCCACCTTGTGCTGTAACACTCTGCTTTGAAGCCAGCTGAATATGGGATGAAACCTCCACAAACAGTGAGCTAAATAAACCTTTTCTTCCTTCATTTTGAGTGTTAGGCATTTTGTCCCAGCAGTGAGAGAAAGGTAACCAAGACACCCTTTTTTGTTTGTTTGGGGTGTTTGTTTTCAGACAGGGTTTCAGTATGCAATTCAGTCTGGCCTTGAACTCACTTTGGAGCCTAGGGTAGCTTCGAATTTGCAGTGATC